ATCAATACCTACTTTGAGAACCTGTACTCGTCATAAAATGGAAAACACAGAAGAAATGGACAGATTCCTAGATACATACGAATTGCCAAAGTTAAATGAAGAACATATAGAAATTCTAAACACCCCAATTACAATGAGTGACATTGAAAATGTAATAAAAAATTTACCAACAAAGAAAAGCCCAGGTCCTGATGGCTTCACTGCTGAATTCTACAAGACATTTAAAGAAGAACTTATCGCCATTACTCTTCAAACTCATTAAGGAAATTGAAAGGGAAGCAAGGCTTCCAAATTCATCCCTGGAAGCAAGTGCTACTTTGATTCCAAAACCAGGGAAAGACTCAACCAAAAAAGAGAGCTACAGGCCAATCTTCCTAATGAACATAGATGCAAAAATCCTCAACAAGATACTGGCAAACAGAATAAAGAGGGTCAACAAGAAGATCATACACCCTGACCAAGTTGGATTTATCCCAGGAATGCAAGGATGGTTCAACATTCATAAATCAATAAATGTAATACACCATATTAACAGAGTCAAGGACAAAAACCCTATGAGCATCTCAATAGATGCAGAAAAAGCATTTGACAAAATCCAACACCCATTCATGACAAAAATGCTACAGAGAATTGGAATAGAAGTCTTTATCTCAACCTTATTAAGGCTATTTATGAAAAACCAACAGTCAACATCATACTAAATGGTCAAAAACTGAAAACTTTCACACTAAAATCAGGAACAAGACAAGGATGCCTGCTATCACCACTCCTGTTCAATATAGTTCTGGAAACATTAGCCACAGCAATTAGAAGAGAAAGAAATAAAAGGAATAAAGACAAGAAAGGAAGAAGTGAACCTGTCAGTATTTGCTGATGATATGATACTTTACATAGAAGACCCAAAGAACTCGGCCAAAAGACTTCTAGACTTAATTGACAGATTTAGTACAGTAGCTGGATACAAGGTCAACACTCAAAAAACAATAGCCTTCTTATACACAAATAGCAGACTCATTGAGAGAGAAATTAGGAAAACAATTCCTTTTACAATAGCATCCAAAAACATGAAATATCTAGGAATCACCCTAACAAAGGAAGCAAAAGACCTCTACACTGAAAACTACAGGACTCTGAAAAAGGAGATCAAGGAGGATATAAGAAAATAGAAAGACATCCCTAGTTCCTGGGTAGGACGAACCAACATGGTGAAAATGGCCATACTTCCCAAACTACTATATAGATTTAATGCAATGCTGATTGAAATTCCAACAATATACTTCACAGAACTAGAGAAAACAATCCAAAAATTCATTTAGAACCAGAAGAGACCTAGAATAGCAAAAACAATTCT